TAGTCGCGAAAATTGTAATATTACCATGAATGTTGTACAACATACGTTCTGTGTACGATAGTAACTACTTCATTAACTTATACCTATACATCACAGTGCATTACCGTGTGGCAGGTTGTTTAGTGAGCGTAACAGGTAAAATTGTAATGAAAATTATGAGATTGTACGGAGTTAGGCAATTATTAATTAATATCAAATATTGATTTTATGCACTAACCTGAATAGAATGACTTTCTATAGCGGTTAAATTGCCATTTAAGAGATCGAATGATCGCTTATCGTTTACTAATACTAATTCGACATACTTGGTTTCATTGATAACATTGCGCCGACGACGTAGATGTAATACTTTTCTATCTTCAAGCAATTTCTCAACTTTCGGATTTAATTCTGGGATTTCACTAGCACAGTGATATTCCTTAAGGCGATTACTACTTTGATCTTCTAGATCTTTGATACGATAGGTAGCGTGCAGTTGATCGTCGAGAGGCATTATAGCGTAATCATGACCACGATAGTGAAATCTTCCTTTAATACCGCGACAAGCGGCGACAGCAACGTTATCTAGTGAATCCTAATTTAACGATAACGGCGATAGATGGCAAACAAATTAGTCCATTAGTCTATTGAATGCATAAGATTAATTATCATACGAATACACAATATATCTTAATCGAATAGTGCAATACTATGATCTAGTTATCATGATAATTACAGCTTAGAAATAAGAGTTTAACTGGTAAAAATGTAATCGTTGATAACAAAATGATTTCTACGTCTACAATAGCGATTTTTTAAGTAAAGACTTCTTTAACTCAATCATACGACTCATGAGCTGCAAAAAAATTGAATATTATTAATATTCAAATAAGACAATATCTAACGCATTATGTGTATTGTGCAGTCTCGTGAAGCCGATGTATTATCCGTTATTGAATTACGGTACATTTATGTTATTGTATTACAGGTAACCTATTTGTATTATGGGCGAAACTATACGAGAGTGATTGGTTAATTTTTATACGATTTGATTTAAGGGAAGATGGATGGAGATATCTTCCCTTTTATAAAGAAATTTTCGATTCTTACTTTTATTATTTTCTTTTAAGGATACTGTAATTATATCGATAAACCGTAATATGAATGTGAAGTATCATAAAAGTTTAATATGTTACTTTCTATAGGTTTGTAACTTGTAAAATGGTTACTTTAATGGTAATCCATGAACTGGATATTTAGTTGAGTTATAGACATTAGTAATCGTGGCGTGCTGCTTATTCAGTTACAGTCAAGGTCTTTAGCCTTACCTTAGCGTTTGCAGTTTGGCGAATTCGACCGTGATAGTAGCAAAATGGTTGTGTTAAGCCTCGTTGGCGACGCATTTGACCATTAATATACTTAAATTTTATTTTCCTTGTAACCTCCCTTCTAATTATAACATGGCCAAGTGTTTTGCGCATTCGTAAATTTGTGTTATGATTTTTTTCTTATTCTTTTAATTTCGTCGCACCGTCATTATCATAACCTAAAGGGGTATCAAACTGCGCAGTATGCATTCTAAATCATGCTTATATCATCATAACTAGCCTGCCATGCAGCTTTCCCTCTGATTTTACATTAATTAGACATGTATTAGTTCAAATTTAAGACGATAAAATCTAGC